TATTTATATCAAATTTAATTGCAAAACATTAAACAAATTATATTATTTTTACATCTGTTCCTATATTTGTATTTACTAAGTCAACAAATGATATTTAACAAAATAGTATTAATCTTATAGTAAATTTAGAAAAAACTTATTTTAACTTATAATTTAGAAAAATCTTTAATAATTATAACAAATAATGCATTTTTTATAAAAAAGCATAAAAAATTTTAAATAAAAAATATTTAAAACTTATTTTTATAAATTTTTTGACTTATAATATTAATTTACTTATTTATAATATTATTAAATTAAATTAAATATAAAAAATATTATCAAATACAATATTAATAGCAAAATATTTTAAATATTATATAATTTTTGTAGTAATTTTAAAAATTATCAAAAAAATAAATATGGATTAAATTATAAAATCTTTAAATTATTTATTAAAACCAGATAAAATTTAGTAGTAAATTATTTAGATTTAATTAAATTTAATTAATTAGCAATTAATTTAGCTATTACTAAATTAATTAATTATTCAACTATTTTTATTAATTTAGATATTAAAAAAATATTATTTAAGATAATAAATTTTGAAATAAAGTTTAAAATTTATTAGTTATTTTAAAAAATTTTAGCAAATGAAATTATATTTTTTAACAAAATACTTTATATTTATTACAGTTCTATAAATAGTATAAAAATCTTAAAAATAATTAAAATAAATATTATTATATTAGATTAATATAAATAGATATATAATTATTATATTAATATAATATATAAATTTAATAATTATGGAATATGGCAACCTAGTGAAGTGAACAGATTGTCAAGTTTTAAGTGACAAGTCTAGTGTTCAAATCACATAGATGGTAAAATTTGGATATTATATCTGTATCATAGTAACTGTATATTGTTGATCAGTTGGACAGAAGAGATAATCTGTAATCTTAAGAACACCATCTTGAATGGGAGCTTGGAGCATTTATGCAAAATATAATATTACATATACATAGAAAAATATTAATAACCAGTATTGCATAAGACTCTGGTGCAAATCTATGATAAAACCACCAGATGCATAATACTAAGAAACTAAAGCATAGAAACCTACTTAAAAATTCTAAGTAAAGAGATAGTATTGACTTTTAATAATACTACCAGACCATCAGAAGGTCTCAAAAAAGGATTACTAGAATTACTAAAATGAATTAAATGACAACATATATAGAGAAGCATATATTAACCAAGCTGCTAGAAACTGCCAGAGGAAAAAGATTTTAGGATACCATACTGAGCTATCTGAATTGGTAGTTTGTAAAGTCTTATAGGTCCTGTAAATTTAGAAGTAGAGAGTGAAAGTTAAGAAAAGAAAGTATTGGAATTCTAGTAAACTTTACAAAAATATAATGGTTTAATAGTTAGCTTTAACTGTAAGTAATAGTTTAGACTAGAGCAGTACTGGGTTAGCTATAAGTATAGAATACAAAAAGCTCTGATAAGCTTAGTATAAAGTTAAATATAACTTAGTGATTATGGTATATTTGCAGATTAACATTGCAGTTAAAAGTGTAGAGATGAATATAAAAACTAGAGTATTTAAATAGAGAACTCACAGATAGGTTCTAAATATGGCAACTAGTGTAAAACCTTCAGATAGACTACTTAAAATAGACAATAACTAAAGTTGTACAGGTGGCTAGTTGTACACTCTTTCTATGATTGCCTCTGTAGCTGTTGCATACAATAGTTATATGCTGACTGATTATCAATAAACTTATAAGTTACAATTACTTCCTTTAATGTCTAAAAAAAAAAAAATTTAATAATTATAAATTTATTAATTAATTTAATATAATTAATTTATATATTATAATTTTATAATAAACCAAAACCAAAACCATTATTGGGCTGGCTTGAAAGACAAGAATTTAGAGATACATTTAGATTAATTAATTCAGAATTAAAAGAAGTTTTATAGTTAAGTCAAAGTTTAGGATCAAAAATTGACTATATTTAAGTTACAGAAGAACTAGCGAATAGTTTTTACAAAGCAGAAATTCAGCTAATGGATATATGCACAAACAGTAATTATAATGCAGTAGTAGCAAAAATAGAATTGAATTATTTGATTACATCATATAGTGAAATGAAAATTAAAAGAGAAAATTTCAAAAAAACAGTAATTATGTATAACAAAGCAATGAAAGAAAATTGGAATAACTATAAGCAAAATTTCGATAAGCAACTAGAAAAAAAATTTCTACTCAAGATTTGGAGAGGTTTTCACAAATAAAGAAAGACATTAGAAATGAGAAGAATATAAATAAATAGTAGGACATAATTAGTAATAACTAGTGTTCTGCAGAACTAAACTGAAACCCAAAATCAAACTGAGAACCAGCCATCAGGTCAAGTTCAATTTCATGATTTTTAAAACTATCTGGCTTTGGTCCTTAGACACAGATACCTAGTGGACTGCATAGACTTGCATAAATTATCACCTAATCTCTAATAAATAGAATTTTAAAGTGTTCAATATGTGGTATTTTACTAAAAACAATTTTAACAATTATAATATCACAAATAAAAGTAGAACTATAATAAAAAAATATCTACATAGAGTGGTCAAAGATCACACTTAAGAATCTGACTAATTATGCATGTATTTGCTCTACAATTAGTATAAATAACTAAATTAAAAATGAATTAGAATCATATTTTAGTAAAGAAACAAGAAATATAGTAGAAAGTAAGTCAATTAGTTTTGTAAAATGTACAAATAATAAAATTTAATAAAGTAATACTTTAACTTAGTTGAATTATAATATTAATATATTTAGTTATATAAAAGTATAAAGTTTATTGTGACAGATTGTGTTATAGTCAAATAAACTTTTGATTAATAATTGTATTATTTAAATAAAAAAAAATTTAAACAGTAAAAAAAAATTTTTACCTTTTAAACTTAATAATCTAAAATATCAGGCAAAAAAAACTAGTAAAAGCTTATAGTAATTTCAACATACAAGTCAATTGTTAAATTCAAATGAAGAGACAAAGACATAAAAAAAAACAATCTAGTATTTACTACTAAAAGCTATATTAAAATCAGAAAAATTAAGCAAATATTTATTTTATATACTAAAGCATTAAATTGAAGAACTTTCAAAGTAATAATAATAAAATAATTGCTATTTCAAACCTTATACATAATATATATGAGTGCTAGAAAATATAAATAAAATAAAACTATGCTAAGCATAATTAGCAATAATATGATCAATAATGATAATTATATATAATATTTTTAACTAAATGCAAAAACACATGTATGCATTGGTTAGTAATTGAACAAACACAATTACATTAAATCAAGAATAGATTAAAAGTGCAATAATAATGTTTCAGGATAACAAGATTCATGAAATAATTAAATTAAAATATGAAACTTAAATTTTGCAAAGTATATAAACTTGAATATTTATTTTTTTAAAGAGATATAGGTTAACTTATCATCTATTGCTATATTATTATAAAAGATTCTGATGATTCCTATCTCTATACAGACCAATCTTTTACAGATGATTACTATATATATATATATAATTCTTATACAGATTCTTATAATAACTTTTATAATAATAAATCTGATAATTCAGAAAATAATAAATCATTCCAAGCAGAAACTGTTACTGGCAAGAAATGTTTTATATATAAATTATTCGTATAGAAGTATTTTGATAAAGAAAAAAATAGACCTTATGCTAAATGTAAGCTTTGTCCTAAAAACAAAAAAATAATAAAATGCACTAAAGGCTCAACATCGAGTTTTAAAAAACATCTTACTACACATAAAGGAAAGATGTCTGAATTAGATAAAGGAAAATCAAATATCATCATTGTAAATATACTAAAAAATCAATTATCTGTTAATAATCATTCTCATAAATTTTTTAATTTGGCATATTTTAAAAATCTTATCAAATATTGGATTGTTAAACACAATCGACCATTTCACATTATTTAAGATAATAATCTCAAAGAAATATTTTTATATTTAAAACCTAATACAATTATGCTATTAGCTAATTTAGTAAGAAGACATATTACAAATGACTTTAAAGAAAAATGTAATAAGCTCTATGAAAGATTACAAAAAATCTCTGAAAAACTTTTAATAACAATTGATATTTAGATAATGAATAATAATAATAAATCATTTATTGCAATTACACTTCATTATATAGATATATCTTGAAAATTAAAAAACATTCTTTTAGATTTTATAAATATAAATAGACCACATTCAGGTTCTGAAATTGCTAATAATATAAAAAACTGTTTTCAATTTAATAGAATTTTATCAAAGCTAATAGCAGTTATGCATAACAATGCTTCTTTAATATTAAATTTTTATAAGATTTTTCTAGTTTTATGACACAGTTAAGTTTTTAATTTGATAACAATCAACAATCTATAAGATGTTTCACTCATATTCTAAATCTTGCAGTTCATAGCATGTTAAGTGTTATAGAAGTTGAGCTAAATAAACTACAGGATCTAATTAAATGTATTCAAGAATCACAATTATATTGCAAAAAGTTAAAAACAACTTGTTTAATACATAATATGAATGCAATGAACCCAATTTTTGATGTGGTTACTAGGTGAAATTTCACATATGACATGTGTAAACAAGCAGTAGTGCTAAAAGATATATTGGATTCAATGACTCTTGCTGAAGTAGAATTGTGTCAATATATTTTTACAGATAAAAACTGAACAAAAATAAAGCTTTTTGTTAAGGTTTTGCATTCATTTAAAGGTGCAGTAACAATTATGTCTATGCAGAATATCTGACTCTAACAATAACTGTTTCCTTATATTATACATTGTTTGAAATGCTTAAGGAAGTTAAAAAAAATTATGATTCATCATTTTGGCTTGTTTAAGGATGTAATGCTGCAAAAAAAAAGCTTATAAATTATTGTAATAAGACAAATATGCTATATCTTACATTAGTGGTATTAGATCTACAACTTAAATTTTATTTTTTTGAATTACTTAATTTGTCACCACAACTTATTATTGATATTAAAAACATTATTAAAGACAAGTCTGAAAATAAATATGCATCTTTTTCTGATCAAAATACATTGCATGAAACTATTACACAGTCTACACTAATAGCACAAATTTATAAGCAAATAAATATAAATCAACAAAGTGAATTAGATATCTATTTCTTAATGCTACATGCAGTTCCAAATATTAATATATTAGAATAATAGCAAATAAATAAGCTAAATTATTCAAATCTTGCAAAATTTGTACAAGATTGTCTTTCAATTTCTAGAACAAGTGTCTCAAGTAAACAGGTCTTTAGTATTAGCAGTAATATAATAACTGATAAGTGAAACTAATTAAATAAGAAAACAGTTCAATTAGCCATATGTTTGAGATCTGGTGAAAAGAATATCAAGACTAATTAGGTTTATATAAAATTTATTAAAGCAAATTGCATAAATAATAACTAATAGATTTTCTTTTTTTTAGTAAAAAAATACTAGTCATTCTTATATGATTTTTTTTTTTAGTTAAGTTATAATAAATAGATTATAATAATCTAAATTTTTATATTCAAATTAGTGGTTTTCAGTTCTTTATAGCATTATAGTATTATTATAAACAAAATTAATTCATTAGATAATTTTATTCAAATTACTAATGCTTTTGATCAACTGAATATCAAAATTTAGGATTTAAGTAATTTGAATTGATATTAAAATAATATGTATAAGGCATTTATACACTATTAAAAATAAGCTTAAATAAATAATTATAATAATTTTAAACTTGTAATTCATTATTGATATGAAATTAGCATATTTAAAGATTATAATAAACAATAATTGAATTTAAACATAAATATTTGTTATTTGTTTTTTAGTAATTATAAATATAGCTTAATTCTTAATTTATAAAGAATATTATTGAATTAAATTAATACATCTATTCAGGTTGATAAGTATCTATCATTATACTGTTACATAAATGCTAACAAGAAAAATTGAAAACCTGAAGTCTATTTTCCTTTGGCAATGCTTATTTTATTTTAATTTAAGTTGTTTATATATATATTTGCTAATATACAATAATTAATGCATAGCATAAGTGCAGTATAATTACAAATATATATATATAGTATAGTATTCTATTCTATAAAATTTTAGTAGAAATAACATTTAACAAATAATTAATCAAGTTTCAGTTCAGTTCTGGGTTTAGATATAGACCTGAATCAATTTTTTAGTTTGAGTTTGGTTCTGTATAAAACTTGAACCAAACCAGATCATGCAGAACACTAGCAATAAAATTATTACAATAGTATATAAATATCTTTCAAAAAAGAAAATATTAAATATAGCATTTAACAAAAGAAAGAAAACATAAGAAGTGCAATTGGAAAAAACACTTACCCAGTTAGGAAGATAAATAAATATTAGAAAGAAAAACATCAAACTAGGTTACTTAGAAGACTATATAGAAGACCTAAATAAAAAAATCTTCATTATTAATTAACAGCACAGAATATATATAAATCTGGCACAAAGGAGTTAGTTTTGTGAACTCATTAAGGATTTAAAAAGTTGTTGAAAGATACTTCATACAAGAAAGGCCAGTGAATTAAATAATCAAAAAAGAAAAGAAATCAAAGAAAATGTAGAAAAAAGATGCCAAATAATTGATAAAAAGCAAGGCAAAATGTTAATAAGTCTATTAGATAAACCATCAAAAAAAATT